CCCCCCCCCCCCATTCCAGCTTCATCTGAGAAAGAGGGACACACACACACAGAGAGAGGGAGAGGTAGGGAGATCTCACTACATTTTTTTCCTCCAACTACCAAAAAAGGGTCTTTTCTTCATTTTAAAACTTTCTTTGCAACATGGCGTGGAGGTGTTTGGAGTTTGCTGGGATGCAAAAGCGTTAAAAAAAATTCCCAGTGAGCATCTTGCCACCCTGGCTTTGTGTGCAGAACCAGTGCGGATAAAAAGGAATGTAATTAAATCAATATTCTAATGAGCTGATGAAATAAAGTTAGAGGGGTTGCCTTTTGTTGGAGAAATACCATACCCAGTAAAATCAAATGAGGAAAAGAATCGAAAGTCTATCTATCTGGCTAGCTAGCTAGCTTATCTAGCTATGGAAATAAGAGTTTTCTTTTAAAATCGTTTAGTAAATACCAGGGAGATAGATAGATAGATAGATAGATAGATAGATAGATAGATAGATAGATAGATAGATATGTATTAGTCACAAGCAGTTTGATCTATTTCTCAATCGATTATTGTACTGAAGTCTTCTCCTGACATAGTTCAACTTGTGCGTAGGCACAAAGAGAAGGAGTCTGAACCAGCCTTTTCCACTCCACTGTTAATAGAATGGAGACATAGGTAGGCAACATTTACTTACTTGTTAGCACATGGGAGACAAGAGCATCCAACAATATGACGCCCACAGTCATTTGTTACTTGTCAGGATATTTACTGGTTAGCCAGCCCTTAAGAAGAACCAGGAGTTTTTAGGCCAAAAGTTCACTGTAAGACATGATATAAACAAGCTCTTTAGTCCAGAGGTTTGGCTGACGCAACACTTTTAAGGGCAACATTTGTTAAAAGAAGTTCTCTGCGACCAACAGCTCGAACCTGGCTCCTTTTAAAGCCGCCAGAGTAAAAACGGATGAGGTAACCTTAGATTTCTCACGCTTAGCTACGGCGCAAATGACACGACTTTGGTGGGAAAATGCTCTTGCTAATAGAACAGCAGCGGAGTCTCCTAATGCCTGAAGAAGGGCGTTTGTGTCCGAAAGCTTGCAAAAGAACTTTTTTCCAACTGTTTAATTGGTCTAATAAAAAATATCACATCTCCCCAAAGAACCTTACCTGCCTCTTGATAATACGTAATTATCCGAGCAGTGACATTTGATCTGTTAGTTAAAAGTACTCTGGGTTCTCCAGACCCCCCTCTTTTGCCTACTTCGCAATAGCGCACCCACAAGCTCATCCTCAAAACCCAGCTCGGCCCTCCTGTTGTTCTCCTTGGACGGGGAAAGCGTTTTGACCTGACCCCGGGCGTGTGATGTTCTCCGTTATAGTGCAATTATTTTGAATGACGTTTATCATATTTAAATCGTGTTTAAACTAGATCATTTCTGGGGAGGGGGGGCGTTAATCTGTGTATTTTCTGATTACACCCTGGAGTCGATTGCTTAGCGAGGCTCTGGCCATGTCCTTCCGCTCTCTTGTTCCAGAGGTCTGGTGAGGGAGGTTTTGTGTCCTTGCAAGTCGGGATGGGGTTTCAAAGATAGCCTCCGCGAGGTCTCACTATTGCGGCCCCGAGGGGGAGGCGCGGGGCGTGCTCTGGGTGCGAGGTACCGCGAGCATCGGAGACTGGAGAGCTCTGGCTCACACCGCGAAGCGCTTGGTTGCGATACCTGGATAAACTCGGGCACTAAAACTGCCTCCTTAATGCGATCGAAATATGAATGGATAACACGAAAACCACGTAACACTTCCGGCCCTGCTTGGGGATTTAATAGTCATCCATCTAAGCGCTTTGTGAAGGGGACTGGGATGAACCAGGAGACACACGTTTGATGAGATCGGAGAGGGGGTCTTTTCCGCTGGGGCTTTTCTACTCGTCTGTCCTCCCATCAGAGAAGGGGGGGAAGTTTCTTTCAGGGCGAGAACGGGGATGTGGACCCCCCCCCCCCC